AATCTATAATCCACTTTGACATGGCAGCCACGGAGGCTCCTTCTTTTGCCATGAAAGCATACTCATCTCTACCAAAACTATCACTAGCATTGTTTATATTCTCCCTATCTCCTTTCTTGGCCTTGTGGTAATTTCTAACAAAATAACCTAGTTTTCCATAAATATAGCAATTCCTCATATTTCTTTTTGAATTATCACATTGGTGAAAATAACTACCTTTGTCTTGTCTTGAAAATAGAGCCGAATCATCACTTCCAAGCTCATTTTCTTTCCTCTTGGTCACTTCATGGGTAAGTCTTGACGTAACATAGTTCATAGTAAGTTCCTTCATGTTCATAGTAAGCTCCTTCATGTTGATGGACTCCAATGCCACAATGAGGTAGTTGTAGGATTCGGGAAGGCTCATGAGCAATGTCAACACAATGTCCTTATCATCAATTGGTTTGTCAACAATTGCTAGTTGATTAACAAATGCTTTTACCTTATTAACATGAGCCATGAGGCCATCTCCTTCTTCCATCTTTACTGTCAAGAATTTCCTCCTTGTCCAAATGATGTTGGCAAGGTTTCTACTCTCATAGGTGTTGTAAAGAGTCTTCCATGCTTCCGCTGGTCCATTGCAAGCTATAACATGTGAAAAATTGGCATCATCAAGGTTTGTTGCAATCATCCCAAAAGCCTTCCTTTCACGACGTTTGTACTCTTTCTTCACTTTGATATCAACATTGTCACTTGGAGGGTCTTCACTTTCATCAATAATATCCCAAAGGTCAAATGAAGCCAACAAAAGTTCCATTTTTTTCTTCCAATGGTAAAAGTTGTGACCCCTAAACTTCTCAATCACTCTCAAGCTCTCACCTTCACTTGAAGACATGTCTAAGGAAGACATGTGTGAAAGAAAATCAAGAAAAGAAGATATAAAACTCGCAAAATCAACAAGAAGGTGTTGCTACTTTAGAAACCCAGAATGCCCTCTTTGTAAGTAAACAAGTAATTTTACTCTTATATTACTCTCAACTTCACATATAAGACTTCTCATAAGTCTTACACTCTATCTGAATCTCTTGTATAAGCTTTGCTACTCTTCAATCATCCCTCTTTTGTCACAAAATACTTCTAACCTCACAAAAAAAACTTCTTGTGAAAATAAGACAATCTCTTAAGAAGTTAAATACATGAAAGCACAAAGTTAGAACACCAATGATAAATCTCAGCAAAGAAATATAACATTAGAGTCCTAAAACATTATTATATGGAGTCTAATAATAACAAAGACTATAAGTGTACTTAACAATAAATAAGAGCAAAATTACATCAACAACTAGATGCATAAAAAAGATTAGAAGATAACAAACTCAAACTTTAGCAATAACCATAAGATCTACTCCTTACAACAAGAAAGACTTCAAAGTACTTCAAAACTCACAAGTAAAGGTGAGTGGGCCCATAACCTATTAAGAAAACAAGTACTTAGAAGACACAACACTTAGCATCAGCAAGGTTGCACACAAAGAGAGTATGGAGTAAGATGTCTCTCACTTCCAACACCCATTACTTATAGGTGGTAGTTTCTGCCCTAAAAGACAATGTCCACTCTTTGACTTTTATACACATGGTCCTAGGATCTTTTTGGCATCTCTTGAGTCTCAAGAGTATCCTATATCTAATACTAATTACTCTTATGTCTTACACACATGCTCTTAGGATCCTTTGGCATCTCACGAACTTCGAGGGTATTCTATGACACATACTAATGACTCATACTTAGTCTTTGGATATTCCCTTGTTAATACTTTATCCTTTTAACTTTGACTCTTGGTCCATGACTTCGTCCTATATCCATTGGATGTCCTTATTATATACCAAGAGTCAAACCTTTGACCACTAGTAACTTACTTAAGGTAATATCTTATACAAGGTAATATTTTTATTTTTACTTTAACACTAATTGCACAAGCTGCAAAAATCATGGTATTCCTAGGTATGTGGCCATCAGTTTGATTAATTTATCTAATGAAAAAGATAAAGTGAAATGTGACTATTTTATATTATTAAGACGTTGGACCGTACTTGCGAAGAATTGGCATTAAGAAAAATTGAAACAGTTTGAAAATGTAACCAAATGTAGGGTATGTTTATTACAATTACTGCCTCTTCTGGTTGAACTTTAAAGAAGCTTACATTTTTATAGCTGAATAAGGTGTTCCCTCAAAATCATATTGGAATAAATTCAAATGTGTAGTGTGGTAGTATGGTTATTATTTAGGGCTCTGCGCCTCGACAAAATTATTGAACTTAGTATATATTCTAAGAGTGTATCAAAGATACTATTAATTGGATTCTACTTTGATACGGGTTATCTACAAAAGCGGTAAAAGTGAGAAGCCTCATCAATAATTTTTTGCCAGAACTTGACAATATGAATTTTTCACATAGCACAATTCGCTGCAATTGATTCGAGATATTCTAGTATGATATGTTGTCGTAATGTGTGAAGTCTTGCTTGAGAATGCTCCGGATACCTGGTTGTAGAAGAAAGAATAGAAATTGTGATAACAAAATCCTAATTCTAATAGAATACTAACAATGCTCTAATTAGACTTTAATAATGGTAAACAAACGGAATCAATTCAAAACAACTCAAAGAAATTTCAAACAAACAATAAAATTCTTAAAGAAATATTAGAGTGATCACAAATATTACTCAAATATATGTCAATTCAACCTTAATTTAATTCTAGTTAAAATCCTATTGAATTTCACTCAAACTTTAGACCAAATCTAATTAAATCTTAAACCCTAATAAATCCTAAACCTTAAGTCAAATCCTAACCAAATCCTAAACCCTAATTCAAACCCTAATCCAAATCCTAAATCAAATCCTAACCAAATCCGAAACCCTAATCCAAACCCTAATCCAATCCTAAATCCTAACCAAACCCTAAACCCTAATCCAAACCCTAATCCAAATCCTAAATCAAATTCTAATCCAAACCCTAAATCAAATCCTAAATCAAATCCTAATCAAATTCTAAACCCTAATCCAAATCCTAAATAAAACCCTAACCAAACCCTAATCCAAATCCTAAACTCAAACCCTAATCCAAACCCTAATCCAAATCCTAAACTCTAAATCAAATCCTAAATCGAACCCTAGCCAAACCCTAATCCAAATCCTAGTAATTCCTATGACATATTTAAACCTCAATATCTAATGAATAAACCGTTGATCTCAATTCAAAATTTGCAGACTTTTTAAAAATTAAGTTTAAAACAAGCACAAAAAAATTTGAAAAGGATCGGAGTTACCAAATTGACGAAAACCTCAAAAATGTGTTCGGGTGTTAGCAGGCTTCCTTCTCCAATCTTGATGCCAACCTTCCAGAGCCAATTTCTCTTCTTTGCGCCATTCGATTGGTTTCAAATTTCTCATAGACATAGAAAAACAAGTCTAATACCCTCTTACACAAGTTTTACTCCAATCCAACTAGTAGATTGCATGAAATCTTAAAAACCCTCATTGGACCTAAAATTCTACTTTCTGAGACCTTAACCTGCTTAAACCTCAATATCTCTCACTTCAACCGTTAGATCGAGCTCAAATTCACAACATGTATTTAACACAACTATAATCATGAACCCAAAAAATGTCACCCATAGATCTGCAACAAAACTCTCGAAATCACTCAAAACATAAACCCTATTTTATTTCATAAAACCCAAGTCATCCGAAACAAACCTCCACTTTGTAAAGCTCTTACAAAGTCAAATCAACTCCAAATCACCCAAAATCAAAGCCGATAGAAATCCTATCCAATCTTCTATCAAACCCCATTCTCCGATCTACCAAAGAGTCCCAGAGTCGTCGTCGAGACTCGGATTTGTGCCTCAGGGTCTGATTTTGACCCTGGTTCATAACCCGCACTCTCCAGGTATCAACTTTCGTCTTCTTGAGGTAATTTTTACTAATTTGCACTCCTAACTCCTCCCTACATATGTCTATATCCTTTATTTTTCTAATCTACCTTATTTTGCCTTATTTATGGCCTTACAAAGTAAATAGAAGCATAATTTGTAAAAAGGTAGCACTGGCACCTTTAATTTTTCTACCCTTTTACTAATATCTATTTTTCCAAGATAATTTGCTACAATATTTTTGAACTGAGATCCTCAAAACATGATATATTTCTTCATCCTCTCACCTACTAGTCATATTACATCACGATAATGTATTTATCATTTACACACAACTTAAGGTGTACTGTTTTTGATTTAAAATATCAAAATGTGCTAAGGTGATTTCAAATCTTTTTATGGTTTGTCACTCAATTAGTTAAATACAAAGATTTTTTCAGTTTTAAAATAATTAAACTTTGACATACTCAGCATAATCTATAATTCCATTTTATACATACCTTCTGCAGAAAGAGATACAAAGATGAATGCTTTTTCTTAAATTGCTTCAGGCAAGAGTCAAAAATTTTAATGATATATTTGTGAGTTACAGTTTATTTGCCTCGATAAAAGGCATAGATTACCAAAAACCATCAGTATTCACAATATTTGTAATACCTTACACAACTAGTAATAGTAAGTCCCATGGTAACAGTGCCATACAAATTGCTCTAGTTCTTACAAACAGTCAAGGATATACGATAAAGGCTTACGGCAAAATGGCACTACTTCTTAGCCGGTGCTAATGCCGAGCTGTTCTCCGCGGCGACAGAACTCGCAATGCGGCACGAAATTTCTACAATCAATGCGCGCATTTGGCAATGTTGTACTCACACATGTTCTGACATAGGTTGGATGTTTAATATGTACGTGGCGCTGCAGGAGCGTCAATGATTTTCAACGGATTTTGCGAAATTGCCGTAAATTGAATCCGATGTGTGTGCAGAGGTTGGTGAGCGGTGCTCCTTCATCCGTGTTATATATTGTTGAAGATGAATCGGAACGGACGTGGGGAGGTGGTGGGATACCTTTTATCAGAATCTATATGATGTGGGAAATAGTCAACATAACGAGGAAGTGCTTGTTTAGCAATTGGAATTTGTCCAGGTAATAAGCCAATGTTCAAAGCATTTATCCGTTGGCTAACTGATCGGAGGGTTTGCGTATAGAAGTTGTAAGATGCTTGTAGTGAATTAGTGCAATCGACTACGAGTGGTCCATTAGAGATTGTGACCTGAATCTGCTGAGTGGATACTGGTCGTGGTCTAAAATGTACGTCTATTGGCGCCTTAGAAATCCCCGATTCGCATTCTCGAAAATGACCGCTTGCATAGCAGCCGCCTGCTGCGACACTAGCGCTCCCCGGAATGAATTCTTCACTTGGAAGGGAGTAAAGGCGAAGTCACGGCTTGTGTATGAGTTCAACACCGCAGCAGACCCCTGACGAAGAAGAGATCCAAATGCGTCCGGCCTTGAGTTTGTCAATCCTTGGAACAAGGTCATCTGGGACCCGAAGATGCTCCCCGAGTTGCCACCGAAAATATCCAAAATCGGCGTCAAAATGGTGAGAAAATCAGGAAACTTATGGGTATTCGACGTCCAAAACCTGTACACCAAAGCTCATGTCTGTAAGAAAATGTGACAATGAATCCTTGCAACAAATCCCCAAAAGCTAGAGCAATAGACCACATGAAAGTAAATAAACAATGAACTGCTCAAAGACTGAACACACGCACTGCCAAACCATTCTAAACCCCGAAAATATCCAACAGTCGGTGAAAGCGCTTACGAGCAAGTGCCCGGAGTGTTAGGAACGGGGGAATCCGGAACAGATGGGTCAGGAGTATAAGGAGAAGCATAAGGATCTCCTCCAACAGGGGGCGTGTAAGGAACACCGTACGGATCCTGAGGCACAGCAGGAGTGCTTCCAGCGTCTGGACCTCCACCGTAACTCGTCGTTGAAGCATCCGGGCTCTTCTCCCACCAGTCGCCATCATGTTCGCCAATTCCATCCAGAAGAGGTGGGCACTTCGAAGGATCAGTCGGAGTCGGAGGAGAAGGAGGATCACTATACACGGGAGCATACTGTCCATTCTCTGGAACATTAACTGGGCTTCCCACATTGGGCATCACCGGCACGCTTTCAGTCGGCGATGGTGTCGAGTACCCACCTGGAGTATTGCCATAACCAGGAGCATCTGGCACCGTTGGGGCAGGGCTATAATCTGAAGAAGGAGGCATCGATTTTCCAGTGGGATAATTGTACTTCGGTGGGGGAGAAACTATGGGAGAAGAATCCGAAGGCGAACTGTAAGGAGGCGGCTCAGAGTAGGCACTGGCCTGGAAGGTGGTGTAAGCAACCGCTTCGGAGCTACCAACGCTCGAGGAAATGTGCGCCATGAAGAGTGCGAGCACAAGTTTCACTCCTAGTCTAGTTAGCCCCATTGCTAACGATCCTGCAGTGCAACCCCAGCTTAGTTCGATTTCTAATACACAATAACCGTGGTTATACACGCAACCAACCGAGCTCCACAACGCGAATGCACTGCGACAATAGCAGTCCGCTTACACACAGCACTGATGAAACTGGTATGGAGGATGCGGCGATTAAGTGCAGATGCAATGCAGCCCATGGGTTTAATGAGTCGTGGGCTGAGCACTAAGTTATAAGTTCGGGGGTGGTGAACGGAAATGCGGCGGGGCATTAATTGGAGTAGATGGCATTGACAATGCCGGTGAAGTTCTAATTAGAGTTTCAATGTTAGATTGACAAGGTTGTTGGCTTTGACACTTCGTGATTACACATATTTAGATCTGCTGAAGATGACAGGCACTCTCTCGGTGGCACTTCCTCCTGCCAAGAGAAAAATTTCCTGCTACATGACTTCGCCAAATGCTTTACCAGCTGCATGCTGTAGATTCGAAACGCACCACTCTTTCACTGTGCGAGTGGGGAAAAAGGAGAAAGATGATTCATAAGATTGTGCGACGGAACATGTCTAGACATATTTTATGCCTGCCTGATAACGAGCACAAATGGTGCATGGTTGACAATATGCTCTACTCCATCGAATATGACAGATTCTGTTGGCCATCATATGCATCACTTGCTCCGGAGAGGTGACTGGATCTACTGTTCAGCCAAGTTTGAATCCAGAAGGAAACACACATAAACTAAACTCAATTAACCTAAGCTGAAACAAAATCTGAACTATGTGATATGTGACAACCAACTAAACACTTGAGATACAAATTAAGTGTGAGAAGCTTGTGCAGCCACCATTATTTCATATGGTCAGATGTGAAAAGATGCAAGACTACTAGCTCACACGATCAATCTCTTGACTACCACCTTCAGCGGGAATGTACTGTGGCTTCATGGCAAAAAAACATGTGCAGGTTTGTGTAAAATAGATACGTAGTTTGAACCCCACAGCCGTACTTTTAAGGATACTCATCTTAGAATGCTCTAAAATTCAGGAGATTTAAAAATAAAAATAAAAATTGGTCGTATCCTCTTCGTGCTATCCTTCAACTAACCTCCACTCGCAGGCCAAAATTTTTTCACCTAAATCTTTGTCTGAAACTATGCTGGAGTAGCAAAGTCGGACCAACAGATTTCATAACAATGACAGGCCAATTAGAACTTTTCCATAATCTAAGTAACACCAACTTGGCTCAATCTTTCTCATTTGTCATAACGTGTTCAAAATATGCTCCAACTTGATGAATTTAGCAAAGATGCAGTTCTTCACCACAATACCAGCTCTCAAACAATCCCAATCCAATGCAATCGATCTCATAGTTAGTCTATTTGTGTATTAAAAGTGTTCCTTGCATCCTAAAAGGAGGATCCACCCTCAAAGTATCTACTATTGGGACCATCATAAAATATAGCATATTAGTTATGTGGACATGTATACAAATCAATAGTTATGACTCTATAGTAAGAATTGTGTTTTTTGGAAAGACTATTGGACTCACATTATAATGTATACATGTTTGATCATTTAATATAAGTTAATATAATAAATTATAATAAAAATAATAAATAATCTATTATAATAAGAAAGGTTGATGAAGAACTTGAAGTTCTATTAACTATGAAAAGTAATTCTAATTCTAAAAAAGATAGCACATAAACCACAAGTAAAGATAAAATTGGAACTATCCAAAAATAAATTAATAAATTTTTTCAAATAAATTTTTAATTAAGACTATTGAAGTTGATACAAAAGGTGGATATTAATCATGTTACAAAATTTGATGGTTCTTGTTTCAATATATGGAAACATAAACTAACATTAGTTTTTAAAGCTAAGAAATTATGGTCCATAGTATGTAGTGAAGAATTCTTACCAATGGCACCAATAATAGCTAAAATTGCTATTGAAATTCCAACTTTATTTGTCATAGGAGTAGGGAATATAAACACATGGGTAAACAAAGATGCCTTGTCTTCAACAATAATTAACAATTATCTTGAAAACAATTTTATTTCACATATACAATTCTATACATTAGCATATTTAGCATGGCATGTGATTCAAATATTCTTTCTAACTATTTCTTGCTAAAACAACAAATTATATACCTTAAAAATGAGAGAAGGTGATAGTGATATTATATATATATATATATATATATATATTTAGAATACATCTAGAATATTTGTTAAAAGTAAGATTACCAATTTTAGATAATGAGACAATTCTTACTCTAATGAGAAATTTGCCTCAAAGTTATTGTTCTTCATTAGCTCCGGCATTGTATAAAATATAGAATCACTTTATAATCTTTAATAATAAAATTTATTCAAGAAGAGATTTTCATGAAAAACATGAGTTTAATATTTGAAAATACATCAATACTACATGTAGGCAAAAAAATTCCAAATCACAACAACAAATCCTATTTCAATAAGAGTTTTAAAAAGAATTTATAAAAAAAGAGTAATACCTCCAAACCATATAAAAAAAAATCTTACTATTGATAAGAAATATTTTTTTGTAAGAAACTACGTCAATTAAATAAAGATTTTCAAATAAGAATAAAAACTAAAAATTTAACAACAAAAATGAAACAAATATTGTTACAAAACCAAACAAACTATATGTAGCAATACTTATATTCAATGAAAAATCAGATTCTATGTGGTATGTGGACTTGGAAGCAACTCAATATATGTATTATGAGTTAGAAGGATTGTAAAATATGCTAAAAGTGAAGATAAGCAAGTTGTTTATTTAAGAGACAATTCTATATCTTACATAATAAAATAATATGGTAATGTCAATGTAAAATTTATAAATAGAGATGAAAAGATCACACCATGTATTTTATATGTACTAAGACTTAGAAAGAATTTGTTCTTTGCCAAATAGTTACATAAGACACTTGGAAAAGTTTGTATTAAAACTAAGACATCTATACTCATAAACAAATTTGGTCAAATAATTTTAATTTACAAGTTAAGTATTGATCTATAAAAATTCGATAAAAAATTAAATCAAATAAGCACCAATTTACTATCCTAGCTACTATATATTTAAATAAAGTTGATTTGTAGTATTTAAAAAAAACTAAAACACATAAATTAGCAAAGTTTAAAACAAATACAAACAATGGCAAAGGGCTTGACTTCTTTGATGAAAAGAAAGTAACTTCATTTCAACCTTGTATAAAAAATCAACAATATAATGAATTTTTTTTCTACACAAGATATACAAAGAGCTATAAAAATATTAGGACTTATACATTCAAATATTTGTGGTCCTATATAAATTGAAATATATTCTAAATATACTTATTTTATTATATTTATTGATAATATATTAAGATATTATCATATCTATTTATTGAAATATAAATTAGAAGTATTTGATAAATTTATTTTATACAAAAAATTTGTAGAAAAATAAAAAAATTAAATTAAAATATTAAGGTATAATTGTAGAGATAAATATAAATCAAATAAATTTAGAGTTTTTTATAAAAAAGAATAAAATAAGAATATACTATAGCTTATATACCACAATAAAATGGTATTTTTAAAATAAAGAATAGAACATTGATAAGAACAATTCTTGCAATATTATCTTATTTTAAGTTATTTATAATTTTTTTGGATTGAAGCACTTCAAACATCAAATTATTTTTAAAATAGAAGTCCTACAAAATTAATACAAGATAGTAAGATTCCATTTGAGTTATAATATGGAAGACAAACTAACCTATTATAACTTTTGGATATAAAGCATATATGTTTATTTTTAAAGAAACTAAAAAAATATTAAATTCTTATTTTCAAGAAGCAAGTTTTTTAGAATATAATAAAGAATCTAAGCTCTATTGGCTTATGAATATTTAAATTAGAAAAAAATATTTAAAGAAATATTATCTTCAATGAGGATTTACATGATGTAAAAGAAAAAATCATTTTGGTAAGAAGACAATGAAGATTTTTCATTGAGTCAAAATTCTTTAATTATCCTTCAACAATAATAAAGTTCAATCTAAAAAGCATATCTTATGCTAAAAGAACATCTTTAGAACCAAAACTACTAACAAGGGATCTACATATATCTAATCAATAAATAATATGACATATATTTGATCAACAACAAATACTCAGTAGATTTTAAAATGTAGAAGAACAACCTTCTTCTTTCATTGATGTAATTGATTTATTCTTTCAACTTTTATTACATAATAATTATGAAATCCTACTTCATAAAAGCAATGATATCAATTTCATATTAAAAGAACTAAGTCTTTTATCTAATTCACAACCTACAAAAACTATTAAATCAACCAAAAGGTTGTAAGAATTCATACAAAGAAGAAAAGAATATAAACATCAATGTCATACAAATAACGAAGCTCACGTAGTTTCTACTAATATAGTAGCTCCATAATCTATTTGAGAAGCATTAGAAAGGGCAAACACTTAAAAATGGCAAGAAGCTATTATTGTTAAAATTCAATCATTAGACAAAAATAATATATGGCAAATAAAAAATCTACCTTTTAATAAAAAACCAATTAATTCAAAGTATATATTTAATATTAAAACAAAAACTGATGGAATTATTGACAAGTATAAAGCCAAATTAATTGTAAGAGATTTTACTCAAGTTTAAGGTATTGATTATACAAATAAATTCTCTCTAATAGTTAAACTTAATTAAAAAAAAGTCTTCCTTGCATTAAGTACATAATATAATTTGAAGATATATCAATCAAATGTCAAAATAATATTTTAAAATGGTCTTATATAAGAAGATATTTACATGGATGTTCCTAAAGATTTATCAATTAAATACACTAATATAATATATAAATTAAAAAAATTATTATATAATCTTAAGCAATCATCTAAGACATGGTATCAATACTTTAATCAATATTTAATTTTTCAAAACTGTAACTATGTAGAATCAAATGAAAACATACACACATATATATATATATATATATATATATATATATATATATATATATATATATAAATATATATATATAATATTAGGATTTTATAAATATTACAATATATATTGATAAGTATATTATTATCAAGGATATGAATCTCAAACAACTAAAAGATCAATACACTCTTATGTCACTCAAAAAG